GTTATCTTATCTGGCCCCCAAGACGATAAACGTAAAATACTTTTATCACTTGAATTTTTTCAGTACTCTATGAGTATGATGTCATAAGTGCAGCAGAGAACGTCAAATAAGACCAAACAAACGTTTGTAGAGGAACCTGCAACTAGAAAAGATGTCGGGTATCTAACTTGAGTTAATGTAGATTCTGAAATTGGTCCTTAGTTTGAAAAAGGTTTTAATTTTGGCCTCCTTTTGTTAGTGAGTTTGACACCCAGGGTGTAGAAGATAAGAAGTCAATAAAAGAAACAAGTTCTCAGGCCCCCGTTGCAAAAGAGATCTGTGATCTCAATGGGATTTGCCTGGTTACATAAAGGTTAATAAATAAATGATGGATAGCAGCTTACTGACTCTGTCACTGATGTAAGGGACTCCAGCTCTGTTCCAGACACAGAACCAGCTTTCCTCACCAGTACTAGTTCAAAATCCTAGTAGTCTAGAACCCTACAAACACACTTCCTGTTTCCAGCACAACCATCAAGAATTTGTGGGCAGAACAAAAAGGAACATAACATTCAGGAAAAAGGTGATGATTAAAACACAGAAAGCAAAAAACAAAGTGGCAGATACAAAATAATTCCATCCATTCATCCATCCATCCATCCATCCATCCATCCATCATCTTCCGCTTATTCCGAAGTTGGGTCGCGGGGGCAGCAGCTTGAGCAGGGAGGCCCAGACATCTCTTGCCACAGCCTCCTCTTCCAGCTCTTCTGGGAGGATTCCAAGACGTTCCCAGGCCAACCGAGAGGCATAGTCTCTCCAGCGTGTCCCGGGTCTTTCCCGGGGTCTCCTCCCAGTTGGACATGCCCAAAGCACCTCTGTAGGGAGGCGCCCAGGGAGCATCCTTACCATAGTAAGGGTAGGAATGTAGACCGACCAGTAAACAGAGAGCTTTGCCTTACTGCTCAGCTCTCTCTTCACCACAACGGACCAGTACAAAGTCTGCAATACTGCAGATGCTGCACCAGTCCGTCTGTCAAAATAATTCAAGATACATAAGATGTCATAGTACTAAAATACTAAAAGTATACAAAACTTTAAATAAAACCAAACATTAGAATATAAAGCCTTCATGATTATCTGCATCTCTGTTCCAGACATTTATTAGTCTTTTATCTTTTTACAGTGACAGAACTTTGACATACGGTCAGAACCACAATAAAATATGATGCTTTGCTAAACATTAATCTGTTTCCTAAGTTTAAAATGTAACAATGATGCAAGTAAGCAACTGTTATTTAACCTGTTTGTTTTTAATTTGCAATGGCCAACATTTAATCCTATGTGTTTTTAATATTTGTCCAAATAAATCAACCAAATTTACATAAAATTACACTAATACAAAACAATTTTATTCTTCTTTAGTCTGACTGAAAGTTCAAAGCTTGCTCGAGGCCTCAAGTTAAGCAGAAATAAATAAAGATGCATTTATAGGGTCGTGTTTTGGTCTCCTTTATTCTGCAGCAGGTTGAAAGTAAACTTGTAATAAAGCAGACAGTAAAGTGAACGCAGTCAGCTGTTTGCTCAGGGAGAAGTTCTGTTGGCAGAGGGAACAATCAAACATGGTGACCATGTGATAAAAGCTAACGTAGGTGTGACAGATAACGCTGTAATTGCAGATACGAGCGTTTATTTTAAATTATTGACCCTCAGACGTCACTTGGACCGGGTCGTCGTGACCTGCCGCCATAAAGTGTTCATCTTTGCTCTGTCTGGTTGGAGGTTCACAGCCGTTGAGCAACGCAGGGGCAACGCCGGGGAAGGATCGCAGACACCTCTGCCTGCCAAGTCCTGCAGTCACGCAGCCTCAAGCTCGGCAGGCGGGGTCGGGTAACGACTCGAACGGGCCTTTAAACGTGAAACAACTCCCACGAATGTCCAAAGATCCGTCTGTGACGTCTCACTTGTTGCAACGCCTGAGAGGGGCCAAAGTGATCACACGTCCAAACTGCTGGGTTTGAGTCTTTAGACACAAATAAGTCTGAAGTGATTATGACACACCTGAATACGCAAAAACCCAGTGAACTTTGAGGAGTCACTGCATGATGAAACAGCAGCGCCAAGTTATTTCAAATCTAGACTGTACCAGACGCTCTCAGGTTTCCCAAGACTTGAATGCAACATGGAGGCGTGCAGCGAGTCTGACTGAGGAACATCAGTCGGGGTTCAAGCCCTTTGATTCATGCGGTTGAAATAAAACTTCTAGATCTCACTGTCGGCCTGAATTGTTAAGTGTAAACGTGAACAGAAGCTTTAATGTTCCCCCAAAACTGAAAGAAACGCAAACAGAGTTCATGTTTTGCCAAAAAGTTTTTGACATTTTGGGAAGTACCTTTCCTTCTTTCCAGGTATTACTCTTTACATATCAGCTGACAGATTTTGATATATGATTTTTAAAATGATAAATCAAATGAACAAAATAAAAATTCCAATATTGAATAATTAAATAGTTTGGTCCACATTCTAGGGCTGGGCTACCCAACTCAATTAGTTACTGGAAGCTAGAGTTGCATTTGGGCCCCAAAAAATTCGACCCGACCTGGCCCCAACCGTAGCCATCATTTACAAACCCCACCGACCCAACAAATTAACAGTAATTACAGGTCCAAACCCGTAAAAAAAAAACATTTTTAATTAGTTATTAATGGTCGGGGACATGCAGCTGAATAAAAGCAGCAGAAGATTTGGAGCCGAGAGGTGTTTGTACTTTCATGGCTGTAAAAAAGAATTTAAACCCCGTTTCTGCTGCATTTATCTGAATTACTGAAACACGCGGACAGCTCTGACACACGCGTCTGCTTTGGGATCTCACCTGTCTGGGTCAACGGCCGCGCGCGTCTGCTGAGTGCAGCGGCTGAATGAACGTACATTTGGGCGATGAATCGCTGCCTGGCAGTCCAGTCCCATCTGAAGCTTAACTGAACCTTTTACCTCTTTCAAGGCCGGTCAGCACGTGGTGAAATAGCTGCGTGCGGCTGGTGGATGTATGGCAGGCCATGTTATCATATAATTGGATCGCGGCTGATCCTGACCTAATTAAAAGCTTGAAACCGGCCCAGCCCGCCCATTAATCACATTATAATGGCCCAGCCCAGCCCGAACCTAATCCGGGTCGGTCTGGGCTGGGTTTCGGGTTCAGGTTAGAAATGACAGCTCTACTCAGGTGTGACAAGGCTAATTTTGGCAGCATGAAGCTCGTTAGCCCATCAAATATATATATATATATATATATATATATATATATATATATATATATATATATATATTTCAATCCATAAATCCATAAATTAGCCGCAGCATGGTAGAAGCCACAATGTGCAAAGCGTGTGAAAAAAGTAGCTGCTTATAGTCTGGAAATTACGGTAGTCCTGTTTTCTTATAACCTTGTTGTGTTTAGCAAACTTTTGAAGATTTTTGTTGACTCTTTGCCCACATTTGGTTCAGTTTGAATATGTTTATGAACCAAACCCCCAACATTTAGTTCATGTTCAAGTCAGCTTTATTGTCATTCACATCACATGTGGTACATGAGGTGGAATGAAATTATGTACGCAGGGTCCCAGTTACACCCAACAATAGCAAAAATAGACAGTGTAAAAAGAAACAAAGAAATTTAAAATTTAAACAGACTTCTTCCATTAGGGGTCTTTTCTCCATTAGAAAACATCTGTTGCTATGGCGACTGTTAAGCCCCTAAAAGCTCCTCCTAATGAATCCTTGACCTCTTTTTTCCCATTGTTTTTTAGTTGTTTGGTGACAAACAAAGCACAATGACTTAATCATCTTAACATCGAAGCTTCAGTAAAGATTCAGCAACAAACTGAAGCATCATTTGTATTCTGTGTTTATGCGTTAGTTGAATTTTGGTGATTTAAATCAGCTCAGTGTAATACACCAAATCTGTTTAGTCTCCCTGAGGGGCCAGCTGTCTACAGCTCAGTTGACCCAGTTTATCAGAGTGGGTTGAGGCACGCTGACCAGTGCAGCCATTTTGAGTTCCAGTTCTTTGTGTGGCCCATTGTGAGCAGGAATGGAGCTGCAGCCTCGGACCACAGAGCTCGCTCAGTGATTTTAATATAAACTCCCTGACCCCGGCATGCCGGCTGCCTGAGAGCGGAGCGCTGCTTCGTGAATACCCTCAGCCTCTTCACTCTGTCTTAGAGACAAACAGGAGGGGAGGTTTGGTCACAGGATTGGTGGAGCTGTTGCTAAGGGGAGGGTTCGGCTCGCTGATGGATGGAGCACGCATCAAATTGATGCTTTATATTCAATTCTCCACTTAAAGTTACATTCAGCAACACACAGCTGCAGAAATGAACAGCTGACATTTGAACTGCTCAGTCTCTGAGGGTTACAGGGACACGTTTCATGTCTTATCAGTGCAATTTAGACATTTATGACCACACAGCTGCATCGTTTAGGGAACCCTGCAATTGATAAGATGCCAGCTAGTTTTGGATTTAAAAAGAGCTTAACGCAGTAAAAATAAAAAACGTTGTCGTAGTTCATCATGAAGGTTTTTAACTTAAAATTTCAGTCACCCTTCCAAAAGATGTGCAGCTAACGAAGCCATAAACGTGATTTGCATGAATGACGGTAAAGTGCAAAAGGTCAACTTTTACTTGAGAATCCATGATTTCCCAATTTTAAAAAGGTAAGCCTGCTTTTAATAGACGTGCCACACTTCACAGCTCAAAGCCTTCTGTAAAGTGCCTTAAAAGTTAAAAACAGTGACAGGGTTTGTTAAAATGTAATGTTTATTTCAGTTGAACTGCATCAATAAAAAACTGGTTTTTGAAATAAGAACACGTGACATTAAAACAGAACTGATCAGGGCAAGCAGGTGTAGAAAAAGTATGCAAAAGGCACAACATTTAAAAAGATAAAGAGCCCTTCAGCTCAGCATTAAAATGATCTACAAAACAAAAGGAGGGGCAGAATAACCAGCATTCAACATCTCCTACAGACAAAACTTTTATTCTCACACGCATGACGTTTGTGACATGGTTCAACTCTGAAGTGACTAAAGTGAAGTTCTGGGTAAACCTGAGCTGTGCTTCATTTGGCCGGGGGCAGTCGGTAAACCTCCGCCGAGCACCATCGACCTCGGCAGAGGAGCAGGCATCACCGGTTTTAGGTGGGGGAGAACGTGGGAGTGCTAAGTGAGGAGTGAAAGGATGGATGCCCTGATCAGATCCAGTCATTACAAAAAGTCCAGTCCAGGGTCGGAGGCTGGTCTTCATCTCATGAAGTTCCCTCCTCCGATCTCTCGCTTGTATCTGTTGGTGAGGTGGTCTGCCTGCAAGGTGAGCTTGGACAGGACTCCGAACAGTCCTCTGAGGTGATAATGAAACTGGTGCTCCAGGTCTGCATTGTCCTCGGGGTGCAGGGGCTTCTGCTGCTCCTCCTGCTTCACGGCCATCTCCAGGAAGCTGGCGCCGCTGCTCATCTCCTTCAGCAGACCCCACTCCATGTCGTTCTTGATGGACTTGAGGAGCAGGTAGTGCTCGTACATGTCCCTCTGCTTGTTGGCGCACAGCGGCTCGTCGTCGTCATCGTCGTTGTTGTTGTTGTCGTCGTTCGCGGCCCGCTCCTCCAGGGGCACGTCCCTCAGCAGGCTGGGCACCATGATGGTCTCGTTCATGTTGTTGGCAGCCGCTATGAAGCGGTGCATGACGTTGAGGAGCGAGTGCTTGTTGCTGGCCGGGTCACCGTTGATCTGCATCATCTTGGTGGTGGTGGTGGTGGGGGGGAAGCTTTGGGTTAGCTTGAGCAGCTGATCTGCAGGAGGAAGTGGAGGAACATGAGGGTGGAGGAAAGAAAATGCTGCCGTCAAACGATCCGAACCACAGCTTTTACATGAACTGCAGCACCAACCCCACTGAACCCCTCCCATCATGACCTTGACGACTTGCAGCTGAATCGTGTTGAGCTAAAATAAAGAGTGAAAGCAGGAAGACTGACCTGAAGCACCGCAGAACCTGAGGAACACGGAGGGTTGATTGTCTTGGTTAGTCTCGTCAGCAACCGGACAGAAAGCTCCGGGAAGGAAAGAGAACTTCCTCAGCTGTCTGGAAGCCTAACCCCGGTTTTTATATGGACAAGCCGGCAGGAAATCAAAGTCCGCCCTCCTGGCATGTTCCCGTCGAGCCAATTGGGCTGAACCAGGATCTGTGGGTGGATCTCTGCAGCGTCTGATCCACAACAGACCAATTAGAGGAAGCCTGGGAGCTGCCAGTCAGGCTTATTGTGTGCTGCTGCCTGGAAACACCTCCACGTCCCAGGCCGTTAGGGCCTGGAGGCTCCTCATAATTGATGCTCAGCAGGTTCGTCAGGTGTGCTCTCTAATTAGTCTCAAAGTACCACGGTTAGGCGGGTTTGACTCGGTTTAAAGTCTTACTTCTCATCAAGTCGTTTTGTTTTTTGTTGCGCGGCGGCGCCCCCTGCTGGCTGAACCGTGTCACTACAACGCGAACGTTCTCAAACGTTCTACTTTAAAAAAAAAAAAACCATTTTATTATTTATTTAAAGTCGTGGCACAAATGAGGGCCAGTAAATTATGTTTTGGAGTCATCCTGGAGCAAAATGTGGTCTTACCGGGTGGTTCTGGCCTGAAGACTCCACAGAATCGGCCAAGTCAGGTCGCAGGCGGTTCAGTTGCGCGCGCCGCGTGGTGCTTTCAAAATAAAAGCTGACCAACCCGGAAGTCGAAGCTGTAACGGGACAAACCTCCTCCAGAGGGTTTTAAAACCTGTCCTCTCACAAAAACAACGAAAAGGATCATAATGTCTATTTGTGTTACTATTTTGTGTATATCTGTTAGCAAAATGTCTTGTAAACCAGAGCATGAATTTGAACGAAACTCTTACAAAGTAACAATTGGGTGAACATCTGCAAATGATTTCAATTCCATTCAAGTTGACATTGTCCTCCTGTACCAAGTAGTGACACTGACATGAAACTTGGTGTGGTAGTAGCTGATGGTTGTTTATGACGTGTACTTAGAGTGCTACATGTTGCACACCATCTTAGTTCATGCTCAGGTAAAAAAAAAAAAAATCCAACAAAGTTAAGTCAAACCTGACTTAACTTTGAAGCCGCTGCTTCTCCACGTCGAGAGGAGCCAGTTGAGGTGGCTTGGGCATCTGTTTAGGATGCCTCCTGGACGCCTCCCTGGTGAGGTGTTCCAGACACGTCCTACCAGAAGGAGGCCCAGAGGAAGACCCAGGACACGCTGGAGGGACTATATTTCTCGGCTGGCCTGGGAACGCCTCAGGATTCCCCCGTAAGAGCTGGCCCAAGTGGCTGGGGAGAGGGAAGTCTGGGCCTCCCTACTTAGGCTGCTAACCCCGTGACCCGACCCCGGATAAGCGGAAGAAAATGGATGGATGGATCTGGACGGTTTCTTTCTTTCTCTTTTGTTGTTGTTGAAACGTTTCGTCCCTCATCCAAAGGACCTCATCAATTTTCAAACTCCTGTTTTCTCGATTTGAGCGTACACCATGTTTCTGTAGGAAATCCACACAAGTCTTTGTACATGTGGCCCCTGGTGCAGAGCCAAACCAGGACGTCTGGTTCCCATCCAGCCGAGTCAGTCCCCGGGGTGTTGGACAGCATCACACGTAGGGGTGCACCGATTGCAGTTTTCTGGCCGATCACCGATTTAAAAAACAGTCTGAGCTGCTGATTCCGATTTTGGCCAATACCGATTTTGTTTTATAAGCAACACTGTCAGGTGTTATAAGTTCACAACGCACCTTCAATTTTCCAATGTTATTTTATTGAAAAACATACCCTTGAACAATATCCTAAAAACAATACAAACTTGTTTTAACTGGCCATGAGGTAGTGCTCTGAAATATAAACGAAGTTCATAAAATTGTTGTTAAAACAAAAAAATCGGCAAAATCGGTTTCTCGTGCAAGTATCAGCCGATTTCCCAAAATTAAGGAAATTGGGGGCGATAAATCGGCCGGCCAATTTATATGTGCACCCCTAATCTCAAGCTCACACTCCAGAGGGGTCTCGCTGGCTGGATGAGCTAAGTCAACTCATTTTATCTTTATTGTTGGCCTTTATTATTTTTTAGCATCAGGTGAGGATTGGTGGAAGGATTATAGGAGTGGGCGGTTTTATGATTAATCCCCTAACCTACATGTTGGTTGTTGTGGGTGAGTTAATTTTAAGCAGTTAAAAGACATTTTTTAAACAAATGCCTGGGTTTCTCTGCTTTTTATTTTATTTATTTGCATCCACTCTCTTCTCCTGAGCACTTATGGTGTAGCATTCCTCTTCTTTGAGGCCATGTATGGTGTAAAAAAACACAACAGCGCCTTCTACAGTCACCATATACGGTGGTCACAGAATATGGTGCAACACCTGCTCCTGCTGAGCCAGCAGCTCAGGTGTGTTTAATGACATTAGTGACCAGGTGTGACAGAGCTGCGGCTACCTGTGGTTTAATTTTCTAAAATCTATAAACTGCCCTCAAATTAATATTAGCCCCCAAATGCTTTATGAAACCTAAACAGACTCAAGTTAATTTATTATCCACAGCTGAAGGTGAAAGACTATAATGTTTTTGCATGTGTCTGTACTGTCAGCAAAATATCTCACGAACCACTGGACAGTTTTGTGAAACACTCAAAGTGATGCTGTGCATCTAAAACCCACTTCAAGATGGACGCCACAGCTAATTAACCTAACCATCTTGAATCTTGAACACCTGACGGGGGATAAACGTGCACGTTCATGGTCTTCCAGGTGAACGTGGAGTCAGACAACAAGAATACCGAAGTTTGTTTTGTCATCAGAACCACACTGAGGCGTGTTTGGTAAATAAAACAGGAAATACAGGTTTTTGGAGACATGTCTAAAGGTCATGCATGTTGCAAATGTTCACTTTATAACGGTTTTTATTGTTTGTAAACCTAAATTAATAAAACTTAAACAGTACAGTGGAGTACCGACACACCCGCTCATTCTGGGTCATATTTGAAAAAAATAATCTTTAAACTCTTAAATACTAAACCAGTGTTTTCCTAACACTCTGAAATAAAGACAGTGTGTCACGTTTTAACACGGTGCAGCAGATGTCTCACCGGCAGCGTGCCATAAAATGCACGGTTGTTCAATGTGCGATCCGTGGGCCACTTGTGGCCCTCGGAGGGATTTTGTGCGGCCTGCAACTGCAATAAAAATAAAACTTATAATTTAATAATCTCTTGAAAAATTCAAGGGGGAATTTTTTTCACATAATTTTAGGTTTAAAAGAAAACCACATGAAAGCTTAAAAAAAGTGGAATATTAAGATTGTTTTTGTCATCGGAGGAAATTGGGCTTTAGGGATAAATGGCATGAGCACAATTTATCGAATGAAAAGGCGTCTTCCCAGTGGGACGTGCACTGAAAAGCTAACAGGGAGGCATCCAATCAGGTGCCTGAACCACCTCAGCTGACACCTTTCAATGCAGAGGAGCATCATCTCCCCCTGGATGACGGAGCTCCTCCATCTCCAATACCACCCTACAACAGAAGCTCATTTGGATCTCATTCTTTTGGTCATGATCCAAACCTCATGACTGCAGGTGAGGGTCGGAACGTAGCAAGACCAGTTAATCAAGAGCTTTGCCTTTTGACTCTACTCACTCATTCACCACGACTGACCGGAGCAATGCCCTCATCATTTCCATCCTAGTCACTCCATGCCCAGATACTTAAAACTCTTTCAACTGAGGCAAATACTCACTTGCAATGGGTGTCTCATTTCCAGTCAAGAACCATGACAAATAGAACTACTAAAACTTTTTTTTTTTTTTAAATAATCTCGAGGGGTGATTTTGTGCATTGATCAACAGTTTAGAGCTCCTGTTTTACCAAAGTCAGTATGCTTTCACTACCAGACTACTGAAGGATGCGTTATGTTGAGGTCAGGCCTCCGTCACGACTCAAGACTTGTTCCAAACGCTGCTGCCCGTCTCAACTGGAGCTCAAGATTTCACCCGTCCCGTCTTCATTTCTTGCCACAAAAATAGATTTTAAAATTCTTATACTGTAAACAGTCTCAGTCAAATTTCTGACTTGCTTCACCTTATGTTCCTCCACAAACCCTGAGATAATCTGATCAGCTGCTATGAAATAATCTGCCTTTCAGACGCCACTTCCTGTTCTGATATTTAACTGTGTAGATTTAGCCTCGATAGTTTTTTGTAAACATTTAATAGTTTGAACTTTGTTTTACTTTTGTCCTTTCGTGTGTTGTGCAACAGGATACAGTGTTTAAATGTTTTATACATCACTAAAATATTTACATGGAGTAAAGAACAAAAATTGTTTTAAGTCGACACCGTTGATTCGAGCCATATTTTATTTACCATACCGTTGATACTGAACTAAACGCCTCAGGTTGTATTATTCCGGCGCCATCGGTGCGGTCATGTTGGATCTGGTCACAGAACAAGCAGCTGTTGAACACAAACAGACTCCACACGCTTTGTAAAGATACAAGACTTTTAATTTTATTCTTTTTTTAACATGCATCCACAAACAGAAACACACACTAACACTGAAGACTAGTAGAAAGTTGGCGGAGCTGCTGAGAAAGGCACATGAACGCAGCAGGTACTGACCCACGTCATCACGAAGGCTCATTTCATGACTTGATTCCAGGGTGCGACCACGGACGATGCTGACGGATTTAACTTTTACAAACTTGGTCTCTAAATACAAAATAAGGCAGCTGTGACACCAAGTACAAAATACTGACAACGCAACTTAAAAAGTGACGACTACATGACGAAGGCTATGATTAAATCTAAAGAGTAGCAAGTTTCTGAAATGTCTCGTTGCCGTTTTTTCTTTTTCGGTCAAACAGCGCTGCAGCTGTCGTCCCTTTTCGTTTCCCTTTCTGCTCCGTCTGCTGTTGGCGAGACTGAATAAAAGTAGGAGCTGTTCCATTTTCTTCACTCCCCAAACGATACCAGCGAATATTAAAATCCCAAATTTCACCAGGAGCTGCTCCTCAGTAACCTGCAGTCAGAGCACAGGTCAGGACAAAAACAGCTCAGTTCAACGTGAATCTACTGAAGTTCATTTAAAAACCAGGAAGTTAAGCTCACCTGCGCAGGTGACTGTTAGACCATCTCATACTGGTTGTTGGTTATGTAGCGAGACAGGCAGCACGCCAGGAAAATCCCAACGAGCTGAAATTAAACAAAATATTTATCAAAACAAAGAGAAGAACACGAGTACACACAGCCAAGACCAGCTGCCGTCAGTGGCTCGTTGGTCACCGTGGTAACCACACACCTGAGTCTGTCACTCCCCGACAGCAGTTTTAGCGAGGTGGACTAAAAATTACACCGCTGTGAATAAACTACAAGTTCCTGAAACGTGAGCAGAAGCTTAATGGTTGTACGTGTGTATTTTTATGGTTCTGAGTTTTATGGAGATGTAACAAAAGCTGGATACAAAAAATAAAAATACCAGTTTTAAAGAGAAGATTTTGAGCTACTAAGTCACAACACACCATTCCTGATTGAGCCGCTCATTTCACTGAATAAGTGTGTGAATGTTTATGAAGCATTCAATATTGTGATCATTTTTTCTTCCGTACGTTTTTCAGCATCTCTTGTTCTACACTTTTTGCCATTTCAACAAATCATCAAAATGTTCAGCTGTTTCACAACAATCCTGCTATGACTTGGTATTGGTGCAACTACAGCTTTTTGAAATATTTTGCCTTTTTTTCCCCTCAAAGAAAAATGAACTGATCTCATTTTACATCCTTCACATCTTTAGATCCGTTTACAACTTTACTTTCACATTTTGTTTTGGTTTAGCTTCTTTCAACTTAACTGCAAATTTAAACTTTTTTTTTTCCAGCTACTTTCATCCGTTCTGTGCTCCAAGATTTTTTTTCCTGCCAGCTACAACATTTGTGCTTCTAACTTTCTGCTAATTTCAGATTGATACTCCTTTCAGATTATTTCTGCAAATTTCAGCTACTATTCAGCCGTTTTAAGCTAATTTTAGCATTTTCAGCTAATTCCACATGCACTCGTTTAAACTTTTTCACGATCTCGCTCCACTTGCTTCTGTTCATTTTAGCTTCTGCTTTATTAGCTTTTATTCAGCTGATTTTTTGCACATTTCAGCCTTCTTCAGATAATTTCCACTTCAGGTGCCAATTTCTGCTTCTTCCATCCCGACTGGGCACAATTCACTGGGCTTCACTTCCATCTGGTAATTTAAGCTTTCTGCCTCTTCAGTTGCTTTTCAGCCATTTCTTGCTAATTTTAACGTTTAGCCAACTTCCTAATTTTTGTGCTCATTTCAAATTCAGCAAATGTGTTCTGCTTTCTTCTGATAACTTAGGCTTGTTCTTCCATTTCAGCTTTTTTTAATAGCCAATTTCAGCATTTTTTTTCAGCAAGTTCTTCAGCGATAAGCATTCATTCACACTGTATTTTCGCAAGAAATGCAATTTCTCTAGTGTTTTTTTAAATCTCAAAGCTGTTTGAGATACATTTTTATGAGATTTTGTTAATGCGTTGACTCAACCATAAATTATTTTTTAAAAAGTAGAAAATGCTGATTTATAAAGGATTTAACAGCTACGAAACATTTAAGCGTCGCACTAAATGAAACGAGTAAAGAGTTATAATCTGAGGTCGAGTTTCATCAGGTTGTAAATGTACCGACTGATAACGAATCAGCCCGAGTTCAGTCACAGCTGACCTGATACTGGTTCAGCTCGGCCCTGACCCACATAAGACCAGGATGCAGATGAAGTCCTATAAAACCACTGCCCACTACGATCAGAGCAACAAACCAGCAGACACAAAAACAGGTTTTCCAAATGAAACTTGTTCAAGTCACCCAGAAACAAAGGGTTCAGGTGAAGCCGGGCTGCAGATAAATTCTAAAAATAAAGCAAAGTTTACAAAATAAAATCCCTCATCTCTCCAGATTTACATTTATCTGAAGCTCACGAATGTTAAAGGATCTACAAAGACTTCAGGGTCATGTTAATTTTCTTTTCAACAAACTGAAACTACCAACGTTTGGCTTTACACAGATAATTCCTCATGTTTGATCTTAAACCCAAAACACAATCCGTTAACGAGTTACGGTTTTACAAGCTCAGATCACACCCTTCCCTTCACAAAAACGCAGGTTCTAAATCCTCAAAAAACGTAGAGATACAGAATCTGAAATTTGGTTTGAAAAAAACGATCTCAGCTCCGTGTCTCGTTTTTATGACACCGCTCGTTTCTAAACAGCAGCCGAGCCAGAAAAATAAATAAAAATGGTGGAACTACCCTTTATTGTTGACTGAGCAATAAACAGAGACTTTGGACACGTAATGATTATTAGCATGTGAGCCCTGACGTGACGCAAACTGGTCGACTTCCAATCCACGACGAGGAAAGTTTGATTTAAGCTTCAAACGAGAAGAAACGAGGTATTTCCCTTTCCTGTGCACACTCCAGGACCCTTCAAGATAAAAAGCAGATTAACCTCTTTTTACATTTCATTGTTAAACTCACTAAAGGCTGGATTCATTCAAATGTTCTGTGCAAAAGTCTTCATCTAAACACAGACGTCAGACAGGACTGATGGTGGGAGAGTCTGAGGTAGTGAAGTTCTTCCATGGGCCCGACTCGGCTCAGCTTCAGATCATTTCCAATGAGTGATCCCAACACGTCCAGCTCGGTTCTTAAGACCTCAATGGCCGAGGAATGATGCGAGTGGAGCTGAAGATCTGGTCATTGATTGGTGAGTGACTCAAACTCAATTTTTGTTAAACCTCACAACAGCAGCATTTGCTTTACTTTAAAAACAGATGACACCAAGATACTATAAGGAACGTTTGTGCTTGTTCGACAACAGAATTCAGACGGAGCTGGATCAAATGGACTCGAACAGCAGAGGGAAGGTGGACTCAACATTACCTACACAAGGCAAGGTCAGTGAACGAGGTCAGGCTGATTCTGGCAGATCCTGATCATCCACTCCATGGTGAGTTCAGGTTGCTTCCATCTGGATGCAGGTATCTGCTGCCCAGATGAAGGACAAAGACTGAAAAGCTCATTGTAGCAATCAGGCTTCTCAACGAACAGCGATGATTTCATGTATTATACGTCCTAACGTCTCGTCTAGTATGGATGTTTTGTGTGTGACTGAAATAAATTGCCCCTTGGGGATAATAAAGATTCTGGAACTTGTTTGGTGACTTTCTTCTGATTGGTTTGTTGACTGTGTTGCGTTTGCCTTGGATAGAAAATATTGAGCAGAAGTTTCTGGCAGCCATTCTACGAAGATCCCGTCCACATCGAGGCGGCACCCGTTACATCAAAAACTAGAGACCGTGTAAACCCATGGAGTCAAAGCGACTGGTGGTGACTGGATTATGGAGAAAAAAAAATTAAAAGACTTGCGTGTCCAGAAAGTTCAGCAAAGCACTGAATATTTTAGTGTGTAAATAAAAATGAAAGCCTGCTAGTCTTACTACACTGCTTGGACCAACAAAAAAAAAAGTCACTAATATTTCATTGGACCACCTTCAGCTTTGATCACAGCGTGCATTCACTGTTTCATTGTTTCAATAAGCTTCTGCAATTTCACAAGATCCGTTTCCATCCAGTGTTGCTTAAATTTTTCACCAAGATCTTGCATTGATGACTAGACACTTGTCATGATGGGAGCATCACTTCACCTGCCTCTCTTCTTACCCTGATGCGTCCATCACTCTGGAACAGGGTCAATCTGGACTCATTCATTCAACCTTTACCTAGACAGGTAATCCCATTGAGCCTCGAGGACTCCTTTACAAGAGAGACCTGATTTCAACAAAGAAAGATAACAATGGACAACAGCGACAGCAATAAACAGTTATCAAAAGTCATACTGCAGTTTTTTTTTTTTTTTTTTTTACACAAATAGGATGGCTAAAAGAAAAAGGTAACAAAAAAAAAAACCAGCTAGATTCTAAGGCGAATGTAGAAAACTAAAAACAGGAACATGTCTGCGTTGGTCCCTGCCAGGAGTCCAGATTCTTAAAGTCACTTAGAGACTCAGACCACATGACCTTCCATTGCTCCAGAGTCCAATCTTTATCCTCCCTAGCAAATTGAAGCCTTTTTCCCCAGTTAGCCTCACTGATTAGTGTTTTTTTTTTTAGGATACACAGCTGTTCAGTCCCAATCCCTTGAGTTCCCTTCACATTGTGCTTGTGGAAATGTTCTTACTTTCACTATTAAACATAGCTCTGAGTGCTACTGTTTTTTCTTCGATTTGATTTCAAACGTTTAAGTGATCGCCGAACACGATCATTCAGGTTTTCCAGTCACATTTCTTCCTCAAAGACTATGGATCCCCACTATCCTTCCAGTTTTTAAATAATGTGTTAGACAGTTCTTAACCCAGTTTTAGCAGTTTCTGCAAATTTTCTTAGATGTTTTCTCTGCTTGATACCAGCTGAAAGATAATAACCCATGCAGTAATTATCCAATAGGAGGCCCGTACCCATTTGCCAAGTTAAATCCAGGAGGCGACTGGTTTTTTTTTTTTTGGCCAGGCAGTGTATAAATCGTGTGAGAGAGGCATTTTTTCAGCTTATACCCACAGCTGAATTATTTTTAGATAAAAACAATTGAAGTTGGCATTCAGGCAAATTCTAGGTAGAAAATGTTACCTGAAAGAACGCGATCCCAAAAGAGACCCCAGCGACGACTCCCAGGTTGCCCTCCATCATGTCGGTCACCAGAGCGAAGCAGCCCTATGCAGCAGGAAAAGAAATCTTCAGAAACTCAGGACCTCATTCGAACTGAAGCTTTCCTCTGACTCACCATGTTGAAAACTTCCATCTTTGCCTTGTCGAGGTCCTTCAGGCTCTCTGGAGAACATTTGTCTATACAGCAGCTTAAGGGGATGCCTTTCTCCTTAAAGTACTCCGTTTCATTCCAGTCGGTGTAATCTTTGAAGCCACAGCAATGCAGCTAGAAAATGAACAAAATTATTTATGCAAAAAACAATTTGTCTCTACAGATGCCAAATAAGAGGTCTGCAGGCGGCTTAAACCCCAGAAAAATAACTTAACTGAAGATGTTTTTATGTGCAGGAACAGGAGAATTACGTTGTAAGAACAGGAGGAACGTCTCACCTTCCTCTGGAGGTTGTCGACCACTTCATGTTTGCTGCTGGTTTGGTTGTAAGACAACACAGCACTGCGATAAGCAACACTGATCTTGGCCTTGATCTGTTGAATTCAACACAAAATGAAAATTTAAAACTAAAGAGATGCCAAAATGTGATGTTTTAATATTTTTGATTCAAATATTCATCCATGATGGAAATAGACAACAAATACGCATCATTTACTAACAAAAGAACTGCAGAATGTGTGATGAATGAGCCAATGATGGCGATCGAGAGCGCTAAAGCCAAAACCCTGACGAGTCACGTTAATCCCCGAACCACCATTTAATGATCAAGAGTTAAAAGCATAAAAATTTAACTCAAAAGCACAAAAAAAATAATTTTGACAGCTATTGAGGCTTTAAGGAGGCTACACAAGTGTTTCAGAGGCTCACCTCATGTCTGAAGATGAAGCCTGAGACTCCAGCCACGAGCTCCGCCAGGAACACCAGGGTCAGAAACATGGCGTACTGATGGAACAGACGAGAACAGTGAGAACAGGTCACTTCTACAAGCCCAGGATCAGAACCGCTCCCTCACGCACCAGTTTGAGCATCCATGGGCTGCCGCGGCAGGTGGCGAAGCAGCCGAACAGACCGAAAATAACGATGATGGCTCCGGTTCCGATGAGGACGTACGGCGCGTTGGTGCTGTCGTCAGAAACCAGCGAGAAATAGGCCTCCAGGCTGACCTTCCCCCACACCCCGACAGCCAGCAGGATCACACCCGTGAACTGAAGACGACAGCAGGCGGAGCAGGTAGAGCCGTCAACAAGCCACAGAGAAGAACAGGTGTTTTAATTACAAAACCCCAAAAGCTGAACCCTCAAAAGCTCCTGGGGAAAGAATTTATGTCATAAAGAATACTTTGTTCTTATCAAATCTCTCTCCTACACACAAAATAGAAGGAATGAAAGGTTATGGTAATTATTTTATTAATAGTTTAAAAACTGCAGTTTTAAAAACACAGATAGGACTGTCACAATAAACAATAAATCAGTTAATCACATGATAAATGAAAATTATCAACCTCATTTTCATGCATCGGCTTTATCGCGTCTTCAGCTCTTTCTTCCTACTGAAGACACTGGATGACAAAAAGCTCAACTCCGGTGTTCTTCACAGACCCTTCCCTTTCTCTTTAAAATCCGTTTGAACCGTCCAAAATTGCATTTTTGGATCATTAGAAGCAGCTAAGCTGAGAAGCTAAGCTACGAGCTAAGCTAACAGGCCAACCTCGAGGAATAAACCTCCCGTCTTGTCGAAGCTCCAAAAATTCACGGTGGAAACCCGTGCCTTCGTGTAAAAAGTTGTCTCTACAAAAAGAAGCTGAGAACTTGTTTACTGATCTTTTACTAAAATCTTTGTTTGACAAAGACAAATGCTAAAGAGCTCAAACTACAGAACGTCCGCTATTTTGAGAACCGAAGAGGCAGCCCATGTCACGTCAAGGGGCCTCCCTCCCATTTGAGACACGCTGCTCACTCCCTCACTATCCATCCTTCAGTTCAAACAGTCATACTGCCATCCGGTGGTCAAAAAAGGCACTACACAGATATATATATATTTTTGACAATTACTAATTGTCAAATTTCAAACAATATAGTTTATCGCAACAATGTCAGACAATCGCGCAGCGAAATTTGTTATCGTGACAGGCCTACTCAGACCATTTGCATCAGTTTCAACTTCATGAATATAAATACATTTATTTCATTATCAAACTTAAATGTCTTAGTTTTCTGCCAGTGAAATGTGAAGATGTTCAGTGTTTTCTGTCAATTATTTTAACCTGTGCATTTTGGGCTTTAGGGAGAAAACAGTATTCTTTTAACTCAGGTTAGTTTCTGATTAATTCGCACTGAACTCAAGCTGACGTTTAATTTGGCTTTGTGGTACTTTTGCATTAAAAGTCCTTTTTTTTTTGTCTGAACAAGCAGCAACGATTGAGTTTGTGTCTTCCCTCTTTTGAGAGAAAGGTGACGTTCATCAAACGTGGCAGCCATCGGGGATACTTTTACCGAACCAGAGCACCGGATCAGGAAAAACGATGTTTCCCCACATTGATTTCCTTCATCAGAGCTGATCTCAGGGGAGAGAGCGAGAGAGACTGAACGATTGAAACAAAAAGCCTTTCACTCATAAGATCCCTGATTAATTACGCAGCGGTTTATTCATCTGTCAGTTTTAGGAAAGATGCTGCAGGTCCAGGAAACAGGTCCAGCTCCAACAGTCAGAAGAGACAAACGACGAGATAAAAGCACAGACCTGCCTCAATCTCATTATACCCAAAGCACAAACCTCCTCTGGTGTAACACGTTGTAAAAATGTTGAACAGTTTGGTGTTATTGCTTTTATAGCTGCTGTTTTACATTTATCATCTTTGCGCACGAGTACATGAGTTATCTTACCTGCTAGAATAAAAGTTAATAAATAGAAATGATGCATTAAACTTCCTGCAGCCTGAGCCCATGGACTCTAGCAGACAGTTCAAACCGTAAAGATCTTCAGTCTGACCTGCGCTGATAAAACGAGTCAGAATGAGTTCAGGCTGCAGGGAAATAAGTGAAAATATCGACTTAAGTCAAAATAAGTCCATAAAGACACCAGCTAATGATCCCAGTAACTAAAATAGTTTATATTCTTCCTAATCTAATTTTAAATTAAAAGTTTGTCTTCAGAAATGATTTAGAATTTATTTTGAAATTGATCATTTGTCTTTGCCGGCTGCCATAGAGCTGGGAAATCCCTTTGTATAATGTCACTGTTCATATTTTTAAAAATAGGATTTGACTTCCAGGTGACATCATCATTTTAGTTAAATAAAAAGTTTTCAAACCACAACTCAAACAAAACAAGCTGCTTGTTGTTTTTTAGGACAGCTGGTAAAAATTGATAAGTTTGTTTGGAAGCGTCTGATGGAAAACTTTAAAATAACTCATTGAGAGTCAGCGTGGGACAAAAAATAAATAAAAATGCAGCAAACGTCTAAGATTTAATTAGTTTTAGAAGAGAAATCTCCCAGCTCTGATTAAAAAAAAAACAAAAAAACGCTCATTTGTTTGTCGTTTATGATAGTTTATAATTTTGTATAATTCTAACACTAAATTCACTTTTACAGCCTTTATACAACAAAACAGGCTGGAACCATGACTCTACCACCACCGTGTTTCACTGAGCAGATGAGGTCTTTGCAATGAAATGCATTCAGATGCATATATAAATGTTCTTAATTTGGTGTCAAACTAAATATATATATATTATTATTGCTTTTTAGTAAACTGCATCCAGGTCATATTTTAGATAAGAGCAGAGCTCTGGACCTTCTGATAGAACAGAAGGAGTTTGATCCAAAAGCCTTCAAACACTTCTGGCTCTCAATTTTACTTTTACAAAATATGATTTTAGACGAATAAATACAAATTCACTCTGGAAACGTGTCCCCTCGGATACCAAGTTTGTGTTAAAATAGTCAAAAATCTCACTTGTCAGAAAACAAAAAAATCTTGGGTGCTCAGGTTGCTGCTCGTCAAACAAAACGAGGCACCCGTCTGTCGACGTCTTAACTGGAAACACCTGCTGTTAAATTTGATTTGTGTGTGATTGCGTCATTGTTCGTGTTTAGGGTTGTAGTTTTACACAAGAATTAATTGTGCCATTTAACAACCGTTTTAATTAGAAACAAATCACCACCAACCAGATGACAGTTTTAAACAAACCAACATAAACCTGATTATTTTTACATTAGAGGAGCTTTCGGACGCGTTCACAAAGCGACCTGCATTAGGTGCCAGAGTGATTTCAACTTTTACTTACAAGACTCGGCCTGCTGCCTCCAAAATGATTAACAAGGTTTTTACAACCCAACAAAATCTGATTATGAAGAGTTCCATGTTGTAATTAATTTATGGTGTTTCATGTGAGATTTCTAAATGATCAAACTAAGTATTTGGAGAATTTATTATTATTTTTTTTTTAAGTGGCACTTTAAGATCCAAACCATCTTTGACACTTTTTATTAAACATTTGTCCGTTAAGTCACCTGATGAGTTTTTCTGGCTTCATCTTATTTTAAATTACCTAGAACAATACGTGTGTGGGTTTGCACAAACTTTAATGTTTGAATTTTAACTTTTCCCTATAATTCAGCCTCAAATGTAATTTAAGAGCCGTTTGACAGACTAGTATTTAGAGTGATTTATGGAAATGTTAAATACTTTCAGCAGCTGTCAGCAATTATTACTGATGGAAAACTTCCTTCTGTAGAGTTTGATACTTTATCCGTTATCTTTAACGGATTTTGATCAACTTTGAAGCTTATTTCTTCACTACCAAAAAAAACTATTTTGTAATTATTTTTAAAGAATTACAATAAATTATCAAAACGTCTCAAATTGATTTTAATGCCACGAGAAACACTCCCAAGTTTTAATTGAATTGAGTCAAAGCTGCCTGTGGCTCATTAGTAAATGAGAAAAACAGCTAATTAAAGTAAATTGGTTCCGTTTGTTACTAATTGATTAATTGATCCGGAGATAATTGATGTGGCTTTGTTCCAAAAACAAATATCGATTAGTCCTACTCACAGTTGGTTGTTTAACCGGAAATAGTCGATTTAATTTTTATTTTATAAAAACACAAATTAACAGTTTAGCGTTTTCTAATGGGTTTGCAACAAGTGAAGGCGAAAATAAAGCGACGTCAGTGCGTGAGTTTATTTAACTCCTACCAGTTCCTGACTTTTCGCTAGCCTCGGTGGCTAACCGAGAACCCCATTGTTGCTCTTCTCTTCGCCCGCTGCCCCCCCTCCGCCATTACACGGACCCGGCGACTCACCCAGAAAATGAGGCTGTAGGAGATGAGGAAAGTCTTCAGGCACGTAATCACGGGCTTCGTCTGAAGCCGTCGAGACGGAGGAGACATGCTGCAGGTTTTACTTCAGAGGTGGAAGAGCGACAGGAAGAAAAAGTTTTGCTCCTCTGCGTCCCGACGCCGAGAAATGATAGCGAGGGACGGGGGGGTGGGAGAAACTTGGAGGAACACCAGGGAGGGGAAGTGTCGTCACTTTTCATGAAGGGATAAACAGCTTTCCCCGCCCACTTAAACCCGCGTCGGTCAACGTCAATGGTTAACGCCACACCGGATGTTGATACCAAAATAAAAGCCGCTATAAACCCCATCTTGAACTTTACGCAGATTTAAACCAAAGCAAAAAAAAAAAAAAAAAAAAATCAAACACAGGCTACACGGACATAAATGTAGAACCAGTCATAAAACTCAGAAACAGGAGAACGTTTTTAATGGATATCCTGATGCATGCTCAATAATCCAGGTAGAAAAATCTATAAAAGTTACTTCTGGTCCTCTGGACATTAAAAAAAAACAAAACAAAACAAAAAAAATTGTAGAAATATTTTGTCTTTCATCCGAAAGTCTTCTTCAGTCTGAGGTGCTTCTTCAGACTGAGCTGAATACAGCACCTCAGATTGAAGAAGTCTTTCGGATGAAAGACGAAACGTTTACACAATTTTTATTTTATTTTTTTTAATGTCCAGAGGACCAGATTTAACTTTTATAGATTTTTAATGAATGTGCTCTTGAGTTATTTCATTAAAAGTTTAAACTTCTCAGGGTAACAACTGGGCAACTTCTGATCTTGCTGAAGTGTGTTTTAGCCGGAGGGGCCATGTAAGAGAAGGTCGTCTTCACCAGTTCGGTATGCACTCGTGGAACGCTGAAGGTCATGACAGCCTCAGAGAGCAAGGTTATGATAGTTCTGCTAACAATTCAGAGAATGAATTTGTAAATAAATGTGACCAATTTAAAAGTCTATGTATGGTGTGATGATGGCCATTTAAGAGTCTTCTTATTCTTTTAGATGTTCCCTCGTCAGGGGTCGCCACAGAGAATCATCCTCCTCCGTCGAACTCTGTCCTCTCTTTCTAACATCCTTCTACCAATAAACCTGCACTGTCTCTCCTCTGGACATGTCCAAACCATCTCAATCTGGTCTCTAACTTTAACTTCCAGTTTTTCAACCCGTGCTGTATCTCTGATGATCTCATTCCTAATCTTATCCATCCTGTCACTTCTGAGGAGAACATCAAAATCTTCAGCTCTGACACTTGTAGTTCTGTTCCTGGTTTTTGTCTCCACACCATAGCTGGTCTCACTACTCTCTTGTAATCCTCTTTTATTAACATTTGCTGCCGCCCTTTTGTCACAAATCACTCCTGAAAATTTCTCCATCCACTCCATCCTGCCTGGACTTTCTGTTTCACTTCTTTATCTCACTCCCCATTTTCCTGGACATTGGACCCCAAGTACTTGAAGTCCTGCACCTTTGTGACCTCTGCTCCTTGTAGCCTCACTGTTCCACCGGCCTCCCTCTCATTCACACACATGTACTCTGTCTTACTACGGCTGACTTTCATCCCTCTTCTTTCAAGTGCATACCTCCACCTCTCCAAGTTTTCTTCCACCTGTTTCATTCTCACCACAGATCACAAAGTCATCTGCAAACATCATAGTCCACGGGGATTCTTGCCTGACCTCATCTGTTAGTCGGTCCATCACCAGAGCAAACAAGAAGGGGCTCAGAGCTGATCCTTGATGCACTCCCTCCTCCACCTTGAAACTATCACTAGCACATACCGTATGTCCTGTTCAGTTTTGCTGATACAACACATTACCTCTTCCCGCGTCACCCTTTCATGTGCATTTTTTAAATCCTCTGTAGCCTACTTCTCCATCAGCATCTTCAAACCAAAGATGGTGTTTGTGGTGGTCTTTCTTGGCATGAAACCATACTGCTGCTCACATATATGGGGCGGCTGTGGCTGAGTGGTTAGAGCAGTAGTCCTCCAATGCAAGAGTTGGGGGTTCAAATCCACCAGCAGTCACATGCCGAAGTGTCCATGGACAAGACATTGAACCCCTCATTGCCTCCGATGTGTGTCCCATCGGTGTATGAATGTGATAAAGCTCTGATTGGTCTCTTTAGAATGATTTGTTCAATTAGCTTTGTAGAGATCTAGTAGAGTGCTGTATGAATGGGTAAATAAGGACACAGATTGTAGTTTAAAGCGCTTTGAGTATCTGGATAAGATAGAAAGGCACTTTATAAGTACAGTCCATTTACCATATAGTCACCTCGTGACTAAGTCTAGCTTCATCAACTCTCTCCCAGTGCTTCATTGTGGAGAAGATTTGGGAAAAACATCATAGTTCATGCTCAATAATCCAGGTAAAAAAAAAAGTCCAACAAAGTTAAGTCGTTGGAGCTGGGGAAATGCTTCCATTGTTCTTTTATTTTGAAAGCAGCGACGGTTTTTCCGGTTAGCAGCTGCGCTTCTTTGATGTCCCGCTGCTGCGTTAAAGGGACTCATGTAAATAAAACCGTTACAACGTGGCACTGGTTGAAAGATAATACAAATAGTGATTTTTTTTTTTTATGTAAAATTTTTCCTCTGGTGATACTTTATAGTACTAAAACATTTTGCAAAATGTTTTACGACAAAAGTCCCATATTAAATCTCAATATTGGTATTTTGTGAGTTTTATTTATGGGGCGTTTTGTCAACACACGTGATTAATTATTGACTTTTAGACCTTAAGTGCCATCGCTCGTGGAAAGGTTTGACTTTAATAATTAATTATAATGTGTACCTTTTTTTTTTTTAACAGGATAACGCGTGGGGTTAATAAAAGTCTCACTCCATCATGTTTAATGCAGCAGCAGGAGGAGACTCAAAGAAGTATGAAGTCCACTGGTGCCACCAAGTGGCTTTTATTGTTTGATGAAGATCCAGGAGGATCCTTGAGTCTGGAGACAGCAGCTGCGGGAGCTTCTTTTATACATGAAATTTTAGTTTTTAAAGTATTTTTTATGTCTTTTTATACTTGGAATCTTTCACTTTGTTTTGTGTTGGGACTTTGGTCATCCTGCAGATTAATTTTTCTCTTCATTTGAACCATCTTTGTGTTTCTGACATGCCCACCAGTCGCCCTGTTGCTGTGCTCATCCTAATATTCCTCTCAGGTGAGTTCAGCTCAGTAATATTCTCTTAAAAACAGTTTGTAGCTGCCTGACGAGTCTGGAAATGATTTTCTGCGAGAATCATTGAGGAAGTGAATAAAAACTTAGTTTCTTGTTAGGTTTCAAACCTGTTTAAGGTCTGTTAAATGAAAACAAAGGCTTGATCTGATGATTTGGTTTGAAACGTAAAAACAGCTTCTGTTTAAAATAACAAAAAAGAACATCTCAAAAATCTCTGGCTGAACTACACAGTGATAAAAGTAAATACAATCAAGCTGAATGACAACACAAGTAGCTTAAAGGGACTTGTTGCACAATAGAAAAATAGTATACTCCAATAGTTTTCCAGATATATTATTCAGAAATGCAGGTACGCACTCAATGTAAACAAAGCACTTTTATAGACTTTACTCAAAAAGCTTGAGCTTACATACAATGCATTTTTTTTTTTTTTTATCATCGTAAATGTATTTTTTCCATTGACGAAGTTATTGTTCACCTATTTTTCAGTCACTTCAGCTGTTTTTGTTGGTAAACAAACCCACGTGGTGTCGAGCAGCTGTTCAGAAAGTTTGCTACAGACACAAAAACTATCAACATCAGAAAAAAATAGCACAAATTTTGTGTTTTACTGTATAAATTTGTTTATGAGTACCTTTAAACTCATATTGTACTTTTAAAAAATATTTATAATGTGGGTTTTAACAGGATCTTGTCTCCAACTAGAAGATTCATTTTTAATCAAGAAGAACATCTCACTTTTCAGAATTTTTATTTTACTTTGACAAAGTTGTGCAACATTGTCTTTTTTATATTTTATCAGCCGACAAATCATTTTCTGGTTTGACATTTCTTTACATGTAGTTTATTTGTCACGTAACATGATGGAATATTTAGAAGAGTTAAAGACTTTATTGTTATTGAAGTCTCTCACACAGTCATCACACACCCCAGCTGCTGGGAAATACCTTCATCTCGGCAGCAACAATGTTTAAATCGGACGCAGATGTTCCGATCACACGTGGAGCCCACTCTCCCTCCCCAGGAATGAAGAGCTCCTCCTCGGCGTCTCCCAGCACACAGCTGGCCGAGCTCCAGAGGAGATGAATTTAACATGAGTATAAGCTTCCTCGCCCATCAGGTGCTCCTTTATGCTCACCGGCCAGGAGCTTTAATTACAGCCTGGCTCCAATTGGGACGAGTAAATCACAGAGGAGACCCCCCCCCACCCCCCACCCCCGTGGATGCAGAATGAGCCTCTGTGTAATCCTGCAAGAAAGCAAAGATCAAGGTCAAAAAGCTGTCAAAGCTTCAGTCAGTGGCTCAGTGTGGTCACCATGGTAACCACACACCTGTGTCTGACGTTCCCTGACTGACACACTGTCAATGAGAGGTAGACACAAAACACCGACCAAAAAATAAGCCTAGAACAAATGGCTGTTGTTCAAAAACTACAAGTCATATTTTAAAAATATTTGAACTGCGATCAGCAGAAGACTCTCGTGGTCATAATGGGATTTTATGTGTCTGCAGTGTTTTAGGTAGGAGATACGACCAGTTAAAAAGCCCTTGCAGTTTTGAAGAGAGTACGTTGCGCTAAACTATAACTGAATTTGATATTTTGTGCACACGCTCTGCATTCTCGGGGGATTTGAGAGTAAAACATAAGGTCTACCGCAGCGAGAGACACACGGGGTGAAAGAGGACAAAAATCTCTGTTTCAATGTGCAATATGAATTTGTACCAAAACATGTGGGAGTAAGAAAAGTTTGTTTGCAAAAGATTTGAAGGTTTTAGAGAGCTGTAAGGTTAGCGTGAGGCAGCAGTCAGTTGCACATTCAGTCGGGAAGTCACAAGTCTTAACCATAACTGTTAAAGACATCAAAATGCCAGTTGAGTCGTGCAAAGTCCAACTTTCTGTGACCCGTTTCAACCTTGAACAATGTTTCTACAGTGACGCATGACTGAGCTACAGAGCTTCATTTTGTTTGTTTCCCCAAAATCCCATTGATCTTCATTATTTGCTTTTCCATCCATCCATCCATCCATCCATCCATCCATCCATCCATCCATCCACCCATTTTCTTCTGCTTATCCGGGGTCAGATCACAGGGGTAGCAGCCTAAGTAGGGAGGCCCAGACTTCCCTTTCCCCAACCACTTGGGCCAGCTCCTCCACTGGAATCCCTAGGCGTTCCCAGGCCAGCTGAGAAACATAGTCCCTCGAGTGTGTCCTGGGTCTTCCTCTGGGTCTCCTCCCAGTGGGACGTGTCCGGAACACCTCACCAGGGAGGCGTCCAGGAGACATCCTAACCAGATGCTCGAGCCACCTCAGTTGGCTCCTCTCAACATGGAGAAGCAGCGGCTCTACACCGAGTCCCTCCCAGATGACCGAACTTCTCACCCTGTCTCTAAGGTAGAGCCCAGACACCCTGCAGAGAAAACTTATTTCGGCCGCTTGTATCTGAGATCTCGTTCTTTCTGTCACAACCCAAAGCTCACGGCCAAAGATGAGGGTAGGAACGTGGATCGACCGGTAAACTGAGAGCTTCGCCTTTTGACTCAGCTCTCTCTTCACCACAACAGACCGGTACAGCACCCGCTTCACTACAGATGCCACACCTATCCACCTATTGATTTCTCACTCCATTTTTCCCTCTTTCGTGAACAAGACCCCAAGAAACTTGAACTCCTGCACTTGGGGCAAGACCTCCTCCCCATCCCGGAGAGGGCACTCTACCCTTTTCCGGCTCAAGATTATGGCCTCGGATTTGGAGGAGCTGATTTCCACTCCAGCAAAATCTGTAGGTCACGACCTGATGAAGCCAATAGGACCACATCATCTGCAAAAAAGCAGAGACAAGATCCTAAGGCCACCAAAACGGATCCCCTCAGCACTGTGACTGCATCTAGAAATTCTGTCCATAAAAGTTATGAACAGAGTCGGGGACAATGGACGATCTTGACGGAGTCCAACTCTCACCGGGAACGAGCCCGACTTACTGCCGGCAAAGCGGACCAAGAACAGTTCTTGCAGGTTTTTATTGAACATTTAGTCAACGTTGTATGAAGTACTGCTGCCAGAAGCCACAGAACACTGATCCCGATGGAGCCGTTTGTTCTGGTGCATAATTTGTGTGTTTTACTTTAAAGCTGAGCGATGAGATTCAGGACAATGATAAGGATGTTTATGGTTTTATTCTCCATATGCATGATGGTGCATGCCACTTCCAGTCTGCTGCTGCTGGGATCTGGCAGATTATCAGTCTGATGAGCCCACATTGTTTATTTCCTGTGTGACTAACACTCTATGAGGGGGGTGGGGAGGCAAGATATTAGCCCCAGGAAATGTTCCTGCGAGGAACACTGAACTCATTATGAGGGAAAAATGCTGAAGACAGCTTCAACGTTCATGTCCTCTGGAACAATCTGCTGAGCACAAAGAGGGTTCGACCGCCACAGATCGTTATTAATAGAAAAACGCGTTGCAGTGACCTTTTTATTCGGTCGAGTCCACAAGTGCCAGAACACCGACAGAACTCCGGAAGTCGAGCAGGAATCAGGCTGAAGTTGGGGTGGAGGGAACAGACTGGAAAGTTTGGCCTCCACGTCCAAAGACGGAGGCATTCAGGAGGATTAATGAGCATAAACCACAGCTGCTGAGAAAAGAGAGGACTGTAACATGGAAAACACTTAACAGAGGGGGAAAGTGATGAGTAAGCGCTTCTCCAAGCCAATAATGAAAATGTGCTGTTCAAAATGTTAAACACATTTAAAGACAGACATAAAAGCATCACATGCTGAGTGGTTTCTTCTGATGAGATATTTTCACTCCTGATTGATGTGTTTATGTTACAGATAATCGTTTGATTGGTTCCATCTGTGAATAAATGATCACCACATAACAATAAATCATTGTGTTATAGAAGTTTTTGATCGATTCTTTTGGCAGTTTGTTTTGTGTTCTTACACGTTTATGGTAGGAAATCATGGAAATCTATTCAAACTTTTAATTAATTAACAAGAACAAGCTTTCTGCACGTCTTCCCTGTATTTTTTGGAACATCTCCTCCTCTAAACTATTTCACAAACTGTTTGACATCCATGGATCCTGGAGAGGAGTCAGGTCTGGACTCCAGAACGCTTCATGTTTTCCGTTCTTTTAACCACACTGGCTGCATGGTTTGCATATTTTTTTTAACAGCGTTCAAAATCGCGACATGAATTTGGAATGCCGTGCTGTGACTTCTTGTAGAGGTGTGTTGCACAATGTAGACAAAAAAAAATAAAACCTGCTTGAAAAAAAAGAAAAGAATTGGATAGCGTTTTGGCAAGACATGTGAGAAAACCCAGCTGTTTTTAAATCTCTACAGCTCCGTCATGCTTCATATAAACATTGCTCAAAATTTGAAGGGGTCACGGAAAGTTGGACTTTCCACGTCTGAACTGGCATTTGGACAGTTTTAACAGTTTTTACACAATCACAGTGTAAATTTTTATGATGTTTACATATTTTTTTTGTGGATAGTTGAACTAATGTTTGATGATGGTGGTTGGAATTGTGTGTGTGGGTGTGTAAATGTGTATATGAGAGTGTGTAGTTGGAGGTGAATGACTTTGGGGTTACAACTTTAGAATTTACCATTGGAGTAATGTTGGATTACTTCCTACATTGTTTTATATGTGTGTGTGTGTGTGTGTGTGTGTATGTATGTATATATACATATATATATATATATATAACGTTATTTTAATGGAATGGCCGTTGTCTGATATTGAATTTTAACGCTAATATCGGCCGATACCGATACCATTTCAATAATATTGTGCATCCCTTATATCCCTTATATATATATATATATATATATATATATATATATATATATATATAT